TCGTGTAGCAGTAACAAAAGCCTCAGGGTGGTTCTTCCATGGGAGATCACCCTGGAAAGTTGTTCAGGAGATGTGGTGCTCTTCACACTGACACTTTTTGCTTCTAATGTGATAGGGCTTCTGGCTTCTTACTGCATGTTGCAAAAGACTTGTGACATCAGAGGCTCCAGGCGTTGTAAGTAGAAGTCCTGGTGTAGTTGAAGTACTCTCCTCTCAGCCATCTGTCGGTGATCCTGTGGCTCTGCCTGTCTTGGGAATAACAATGCCTGGAGGAGCAGGCATTGCTCACACCTGACAGGTACGAGTGTTTTCCACTCTAGGCTCAGACTTTAAAGATCACTGTGTCTATGCAGATCTGCTTTTAAGCAGTTGAATTCAGGTTATTTTTTAGGCTGGGACTAAGCACTGCAGCTTGTGCTCATTTACTTCATTTCTTGTCTGAGTTCATCCAGGCAGCAGATGTGTTTGAGTGTTCAGTATGCTTTGACTTTTATCTCTGGAGTAAATTTCTGAGGAGTCTTCCTGATAGTATTTTAAATATGCAAAATTCAGGTGTCTATTGCACCCGTAGAAGCTGATCTGCAGTGTTACGGTATCTCAGTTCAGCTGGTACAAAACTGGGCTATTTGGGCAGTCCTTTCATTCCTTATTCCCTCTTTTCTGCCCCCTTCCCAGCATGGGCACTGTCGTGAAGCCAACGAGTCCGCATCCATTCAGCATCTCCCCCTGTTTCTTCCCGAGGAGACAGGGAATGACTGGCAGGACGTGGCGGGCTGCTCTGCTAACCCAGGGATTCCTGCATGCTCAGACTGTACCAACCTCTGTGAATCTCTGGGGCTGTCACGAGGAGGAGGAGGAGAGCGCCGATCCAGGAGAGGACACTGCTGGCCCTACTCGCTCCTTTAGTGGCGAAAGTCCCTGCTAGTCAGCTGGCTCTAAGACCTGCTGCTGGGTTTATTGTTACCTGCTGCTGGGTTTATCTTTTGCCTTTTTTTCCAGTGTAGACCTGTCAGTACCCAGGAGGTGGCACCGAGCTAGAAGAGTTGGAGAAGGGCTGCTGCTGCAGTGTCTGCCGCCCTGATGGTTACTCCCAGGCACCTAAATCTTCTTTTTCCCTCCTACTGATTAGAGTAATTAAGTCAGCAGTGACTGAAAACTTATTGCTCTTTCTTTTAAAGGGAGTACTAGATTTTTTGCAGTAAGTTACAGCTGCAAGGTACTTCAGGAGGCTATTCCTTATGTCAGTTGAAGCGCATGGACTTGATGCTCATAGCTGGGCTGCTTCAGAGCAGAGCGAACTTAGCTGTTTTGAGCAGTGGTTTAAGATCAAAGCCTGTTGGATTGTTCCCAACGCTTGCAGTCAGGTACAGGATCCCCGCTGAGAAACGGCCAGCTGCTCTTAAACTCTGTGCAGCACGAAATTTGTGTAGACCCGGTCCCTGCTCTCGGCTGAGCTCCGTCACTCTTGTTCTGTCTAAATGTGCTTTGGTGTAGCAGCTCAACTGTGTGTACAGTTACGAGCTGGACATAATGCCTTTGCTGATGTGGATGTAATCATTATCTTTTCGGTACTGTTGAGGGTGCTGCAAGCATCTTTATTAGCAAATCTCATTGAAAAACAGGGAAAACCATTTGGTGCTGTTATCCTGTCATTTCGTTTCCTCTGAGGTTGTGGCTTGTGACCCGTCCAGGATTGGTTGCGTGCTGCCAGTGAGATTTCCGAGATCCTCGAGGAACTGATGTGTGCCGGTGCAGAATGAAAGTGTGGCAGAGTCCTTTTAACCTCTTGCATACAAGATCCTGGCTCTGTAAACACAGCCACAGTGATTTGTATGAAGATGTTGGATTGAGAAAAACCTTTCCTAATTTTGCAGTAAGAGCTGTGTAGCAGAGAGCTGTCTCAACCACTTCTATACCTTCTCTTAAGAAGCAAGGAGTACCTGATTGTTTCAAAGGAGAGGGCTAGGGTATTTTAACTCTGACATCATTGGTCCTTCTCTCTGATGTCAAGAAAAACCCATATTTTTTTAAATCTGTGGGTAGCATCTATTATAAATGCATATGGTCCCATGACTGGCCGAATTAGTTGTTCTGCACAGAGGTGTTGGATGATGCTGCAGTGCCAAGCCACGGTGTCCCACTAAGTCTTCCCTGTGTTCGCCTTAGGTTTGGTTAGTCTCGTCGTGTGTGCATTAGGAGGTCTTTAGCGTTCACAAAGAGGAGTTACTCAAAATAAGATTTCACCTGTTTCACCAGAAATGACCTTTTCTTTCCCATTTTGTTTTGTTGCAGAGTTTGGATGAAGTAAGTAAAAGTGATATTGGCCGAAAGATAAAGGAAGGTGTGGAAGAAGCAGCAAAAACAGCAAAGCAGTCTGCGGAGTCAGTGACAAAAGGAGGAGAGAAATTAGGCAAGACAGCAGCCTTCAAAGCTATTTCTCAGGTATGTAAGTCCTACGCCTCTCTAGGACCCAGCGCTGTGGACACAGCTTGTTAACATGGAAGTTATGTGCAAGTTTGTGCTGAGTATAAAATTAAATGCAAAACTCTTATAGCAAGACCTTGTGAGCCATTGGAATAAGCTGATAAATTCAAGCGATGCATTTTGCAGGTCTAGCATTCACTCACAGCCCTAAAATGTGTGAGTCTCAAGTAGCTGAGTTTCTGCTAAAATGTGCTTCTGGAAAAATTGGTTGCTGTGCTTGCGGAGCAGGGTAGCAACTGTCTTCTGTAGACAGGTACTAGTGGTACTCTTGGGAACAAACTGGCTTGCTTAAAGCTCTCTTTTTCTAGAAAATACATAAGCGCTCATATGTTTTGATGTCACCCAATGAACTGGCAATTAGCCTGGAGAGAAGCGTTTCCCTTGAGTGATTTCTCGTGCCGCCTCTGAAGCCTTGGCTTTAGCACTTGTACGAGGAGGTACCAGGCGGAGTATCGGTTGGATCAGTCATGGCAGTTCCCTTCTTTCTGTGTTTCTAATAAGACATCATCTGCTAAAGGTCACTTCTAGTCATAGCTGCAGATCGCATTATACCCCATTTTTTTCTTTTTCTGTAATGAAACCTGTTATCTTACTCCAGCGGCCTCCAAATCTAAGAACCATTTGTTCCTTCTATGAAGCAGGCTGCTAGGCCAGACCTCGTAAGCAGGCAATGGTTTTATAGGACCTTAAAGTAATTTTTTTGAGCCTTAAAGATTTTTTTTCCCCCTGTAAACAGATTCATTGTCAGATTTAACTGATTCACAGAGCTGTTACAGGCTGTGAACAGTTCTTGTAGCTTTGCTATACTTCCTAATATGTATGTACAATTTAGAATATTCAGTCTACTGCTGCAGAAAACCAAATACATTCTCTTAGAAATTGTGGTAGTAGTCTCACTGTGAGATCCTCATTGCTTCAGTGCTGAGGAGATACTTTATTTGTATAATCTAGAGCTAGATGGTATCCACAGGGGCTTGTGTCTGGTTCTCTTCTCTGCCAAGTCCCTCACATGGTCTTTTATAGTCAGTAGGAACAGATTGTGTTCTGGAGCTTTGTATTTAAAGTCACTTAAACTCCAATTTCTGCTTCGTGTCAGATCTCTGGCATCTATTCCATCTAGACTCTGTGCGCTGTTATAACTTTCTTCAGGCAGGAGTCACACTGACTTTAGCAGGGGAGGATGGCGAATGCTGGCAGAGCTCTGCTGGGCGCTTTGTGTGTTCTCCAGAAAACTCCTGCATAAAGTTGAAAGACAACAGCTGCCATAAAGCCACATGATGCTTTGGGCTACGTAACTTGTGTGTCCTCAATAAAAATATTGGGAAGAAGCTGTATATAGAGTATATATAAAATGCCTTTCTGCCTGCGTGTGTTTAGGTGTAATAGGAAAGCGTGCTTATTGTGCACCAGATCTTTTGTAGGTACAGTCCTTAGAGAAAGTACTGCTCAAAAGTTAAGTAGTAAAAGTAGAGCAGCCAAGATGAAAGAGAAACACTAAAAACACCTTTAGTCCCAATCCCTATTGAAGCGTATGACAAAAGTTCCCAACAAAGGTTGCGGCAGGATGCAGCTTCCTCTTGGCAAAATGTGAACTAAGGATGTAGCTGCTCCCTGAAGAGATGTCTGTGAGATTTATCAACTCCTTTCTCTTGATGTAGCCTCACCCGAGAGGGAGAATATCTCCTATCTCTGTAGTATAAGCTGCACTACTGTGATTATTTTCACATCTTTCCTTTGGCAAAGAAGTTTACTTCGAGGCTATTTTCTCAGCGAGAAGGTGCGTAGAATTCTGTAAAAAACAAGGCTTCTTTTTGCTTTGGGGAAAGCAGTACTCCTGTTTGTTTAAGCTTGGGCCTAAACCTGGATTTTATTGACCTTTCAGGTGGCTTTACAGTTGGTTGTTGGTGTCCTGAAGTCTTTCTTCTCCCCTACTTTTGGATACTGGAATCATTCTTCCTTTTACCTGGGGCTTGTCATTCTGTCAGCTGCTGGCTGCTGTTGGGGGCTGATATGCCTGCTTTCTTCTTACTTGATTTGTTCCAATTTAAACTCTTGACTGTATCCATAGCTTCTACTATATTGTGGGTTTTTTCTTCAGGTTGATTCAATACATCCATCCATTTGCTGTCCTAGACTAACTTCTTGAGCAGAAGGTGCTGGTGTGTTTGTCAATAGACATCAGCAAAGAAGCATTTGCTGAGCAAGAGAGAGAGGAGAATATCCTGTGGTCTTTTACCTTTTTTATTTTTCCTCTTTATTTTTTTCCTTCAACAGAAGCCATTTTCAGTTTCTGGGAAAGGGGAGGGGGGAATGGTAAATCAACCTAATAGGGATATTTTCCTTTCAGGGAGTAGAAACCGTTAAGAAGGAAATAGATGAAAGTGTTTTAGGGCAGACTGGTCCTTACAAACGTCCGGAGCGACTACGAAAAAGAACAGAATTCTCAGGCGAGAGGATTAAAGAGGAGCGAATATTTGAAGCTAATGAGTACGTATTGGATGCGATTTAGGCTGAATATTTCTGTGTATAACTTGATAAGAACTTTAAAACTTAACTACAGGTTAGGGATGGTTAAAATCTAAGTGCTGAAGTGAGGCTGTGGGGTGAGGTGTGACCTAGCAGAGCAGGTAGGTCTGAGAGCGAATTTCCAGCATAAGTTGATGATACTGAATTTTCTGATAGTGAAACCGGGCACTTGTAAAGTGGGTACATGGTATTCTGACATGTAATTTTGACTTGTGCATGTGTTAGGTTTTCTCGGTTCTAATGTCTTGCTATTGAATTCCATTTGGCGGGACTGTCTGAACTCCTTTGCTTTCTCTGCTGCCTTGCTCCACTAAATCGTGTGTCATTTCTGTGACATATCAGCCTCAGTGATACTGCATGCTGCCATGATAGTCATCGGGATGTTCTCCTTTTTATTCTCCTTCGGATGTCAGTTGTTCACAAATACCCATCCATGTTTTCTGCACTTTCTAGGGAGGCCATGGGTGTGGTGCTGCATAAAGACTCAAAATGGTATCAGCAGTGGAAAGATTTCAAGGACAACAATGTGGTCTTCAATAGTAAGTGTTCCAAAGACAAAGGAGTAGCACATTATTTTCCTTGTTCTGATTCTTGCTGTGTTGGATCTGATGCCATCTGTGCAACTAGTCTCAACATAAAGCAAATCATAGCCATTTTTTTGTTGTTGTAGCTGTTGCTGTGAGGTGGTGTGAATGGGAGGTAGGCGTAGCTGACAACATCGCAGCTTTTCCAAGCTGCTCCATCTGTGATCGGACCCTTCCCCCAGTCAGGCATTGTTTTTGATCAGTCCCTGCTCCCTGTAGGTACCAAAACCTGCTTTCGCCATTGCTTAAAGAGAACTGAACTCTTCTTTTTTTTTCTATTTTTTTTCTAGTCAGATCCGCTCTGGCACTGGGAAGAGGCTAGGGCATGCATGCATGCATGTCACCAGGGAGAGGGCAGGCAGATCTCTTCTTCCTGACCTTGAGCTTATAGCGAGGAAAAAAATCTTGTCTTCAGTGAGCTGGTTTTTGTTGTCATCTGCTTAGAACTCCAGAATGTGTGGGACTTTGCCTCCTTTCTGTTTTTATTGCAAAACCTAAAAATACTGACTATCTGTACTGCAGCGGGCCATAACTTTTGATAGTTATTGAGACACTCAATGTTTCTGAAAGGCATAAAGAAGCCTGAGACCAGAATCCTTCAACAAACCAAAACAATCGCTGCCAGTGTACCGCAGGGTAATTGACTTGTTAAGGAACAAAAGATTGTGAAAATAGAGTTAACTTTGGATTGTGTTTCTTCCCGACTTCTTTTAAAGCAGAGCTCCTTGGTAGGTATCCAAGAACGGGTTTTTACATCCCATTTGTTAGCCTTTCCAAAGAGATGCTCATAGCTCCTGAAACTCCCCACATGTTGCATCTTCCACTCCTTTGCCATCTGCATGAGCTCTCTGCATCCTCTAGATTTTATGCGTATTTCCAAGACTGGTTTTGTGGTTCAGGCGATGCTGCAGATGTGGCTGCAGCAGGCTTTACAGTGCGTGCTCTCCCTTTACGTACCACCTCTACCAAGAACACTGTGTGGTTTTTGGAAGGAGCCTGAGCTTCGGGGCAGGATTCCAATTAATATTGATGCGGTGGGAAGAAGTTTCCCTGCAGGGCCCGTTGTCCCTCAACTACCTTCTGCAGTTCTGGTCCATCTGATGGTGTACAGAGACAGATAATGGGTTGGTTGAGCCCTCGGTTTGCTGCCACAATGCCTGCTTGCTTAAATGGCTTTTTGGTGGTGTTTGGTTTTGGTTTGTTTTTTTTTTTTTTCCTGCTTCACCCCCTGCCCTTCTTTCTGCCTTTGAGATTTTGTTTTGCTGGAGTTCTCCTTCCCCATCAATGACTTCTGCAGTTTTGTGACATGCTTGGCTTGCTTTCTTATCAAGGTTGAGAAGTACATAGAGCTGCTTAAGAACTGCATCATCACTGATATCTTGCTATTTTATGAAAAACTGGCAAGTTTTAAGGTCTATTCTTGATCCCATCCCCCCAGTTGAACGTTCTGGTGTTGGTTTCACATCCTGCTGCCCCTTGTCGCAGACTGAATCAAGGGGTATCAGCAGACTGTTACTGGAGTAAGCAAGGCTAGCGCATTTTCTGTTTGCAAATCTGCATAGCAGGCGCAGAGTTTCTGGCAGCTGAAGTCTGACAAACCATCGTTCTCCTGATGACAGTTACTGATAGTTAAGAATATTGCAGGAAGATGAAGAGAAAAGTAACTTTTGAAACTGATACTTGTTAATTAACAGAGATGTAGAAGACAACTAGCAGGTTTGATCTGCAACCCATTGCATGTTGTTTCCTAATTCAGGAATGTAGTGGAAGCACAGTGCTGCTCACGTCTCCTCTCCTTTCAGGGTTCTTTGAAATGAAAATGAAGTATGATGAAAGTGATAATGCATTCATTCGAGCTTCCAGAGCTGTCACAGACAAAGTCACTGACTTAATAGGTAATATTTCGTTGTTACTGTGAAAGCACATCTCTCTAGCCGTTTAGCTCTGTTCCTGGCGACTGTTAGTGCTGTTGTCCTCCATGCGTTCCTAACCTTTGGGACAGATTCTGGAGCTTTGTAGCATTTTGCATGGATCATTATCCAGTATCATGCAGTGTAACAACCTGCTGCTGGCTCAGAAGTGCAGTGCGATGACAAGTGCTTGCATGGGATAAATCTTAGGCTTAACTTAAAGTCTGCGGTCGTTCCCAGGTGACTGTTCCTCCCCTCTGTTAGATAATCAAAGGTCTTTCTCTTGTTTTCTAGTGACAGTTGTTGTGCCACCAGTCTCACTGAATTGTTTTATTAGGTGGATTGTTCTCGAAGACAGAAATGTCTGAGGTTTTGACAGAGATACTCAAAGTGGATCCATCCTTTGACAAAGATCGGTTTTTAAAGCAATGCGAGTATGATATAATCCCCAATGTCTTGGAGGTAAGGTGGGGTACAGTATGATGCATTTGTCTTATTTTTTTTCTTTTACTATAACATGGAAATTTTTTCTTTCACTTTTTCGATGCTAAAATTAAAAGCTGGGACTGTATTTGCTTCTGAAGCATCCAGCTTTGCACAGAACATGAGATAACCTTGGGAAAAGGAAGTTGCATCCTACATACCAATTTAGTTTAAAACCATATTTCATAATTTAGTAGACTAGCAAATTTTTTTTTTCTGGCCTTGAAAACAACTAACCATCTTCTCCCATGAGAAATGATACAGGCATCAGAGGGATCATACTGTAGTAGGTGAATGAACAGTACTGGGCAAATGATGATATCAAATACTGATAAGGGGAAGAATGTACCATGTACGACTGGATTCTGTAACTGCTTGGGAAGACCAGCTCATGACAAATGGTTCAGTGCAAATATTTCTGGTGCCAGTCAAGGAAGTATGTGGAACTTAATATTTTTAAAGACTAAAGTATAAAACCACTCGGAGGATAGCACTGATGAAGGATGTGACCTCAACTATAAATGAATATAGTTCTTCGCACTGCAACAATATGTCAGAGAAGATGGAGTGGAAGTAGGGTATTTGAAAAAGTACAGCAGAAATTGTTTTGAGAAATTTGTATGAGTCTGGAAAAACTGAGGCTTGAAGAGATAAACATATGCTAAGAGAGAGCAAAGTCTTGTTTTCTCATCCTACAATACCTACAATCAGTCTCTCATTGATACATGTAGATATATTTATGATACTCCTAGTCATGAAGTAACATTAGAGGATGAATAAAAAATAAATCGATGCTTACAGATCCAAACATCCAAACTGATGCATAGTTAGGTTTTGCCACTGCTGACTTTGCAGTGACTGACTTTTGTATCAGACGTGTGACTGGAGCTGTAACACCGACAGTGAAATTAGACAGACCTGTCATAGTGAATCTGCGTTTCCTACGGTGCTGTGTCACTAAAGCAAGCTGCAAAAAATGGGCCATTGACTCGTGGAGAATGAATTTTTCACAGGAGAGCTTACAGGTGCCATCAGGTAGGAAGATTTATAGGTGTTATGTTGAAACGCCCTGCCACGTATAACTAATTTTATTTTGAAATCTGTTAAATTCCCAGCACCTGTCTTGTTATGAATTCCAGGTGTTTATCACACAGTATTTTAAAGGTAAACCTTTTCATGAGCTGCAGTGTGATTCTTCTGTTTGTTCTGTGCCCTGAATTTTTCACAGTTTTGAAAACTGTAATCTCCCTCTGGTTTGTGCTCCTGCCTCTGTGAGATCCCACCTCCCAGGATTTCTGGGTAGTTTGCATTCTGCTGACTTTTTGGGCAGGCAGGTTTAAGATAGCTTTTATCTTAAATTATCGAAAGGTTTCTGTACACCTGACTCTGTGTGTGTTTATAGAAGTTCTTGTTGCTGTTCCTCTTTGAACCTCCTGTCCTTCTTCAGGATTTCACAAGATGTAGGATTTAAAGTAGCTTGCTGTTGAAAGTGCAGATAATTTCAGCTGTCTGGTATAGGAGGTGTTTTAAAATGTTCGTATATTTTTTTGTTTTTTCCTTTTAGGCTATGATGTCTGGAGAGCTTGATATCCTCAAAGACTGGTGCTATGAAGCGGTAAGTAGAGCTACTAAAAATGTCTGAAAAGGCTATGATTCTCTTGTAAGTAGGTGTATTGTGGTTTCTTTGCTTGCAAGCTGTCCAAGTGTTGTATCTGTGATGTTGGTTACCTGTTTTGCCCAGCTGTTTCCCCATCTAACATGTTCACACTATAAATGACTAATGCAGTCAAGTGCACGTGCTGGGCTTCTGGAATAGTCTGGCTACGAGAGGAGAGCTGGTTGGAGGCCGAGGGCAAATGGAGAGCTAAGCTCAAACTGGTTTTGGTTTTGTTCTGGGGTAGATTTTCAGTATTGGGTCCACTTCTGGAACCAGTGAAGAGGAATTGGTTGCAATTCAGTGATTGTGGTTATTGTCCACTTAACTCATGAAAGCAGATCCTTTCCTGACAGCATAGATGGGCGCTTGTTCTAGACTTCACTCTGCTCCATATTAATTGTGTCGTAGGCAACGCAGAGCCGTAGTTGTTCTGGTTGTGAAGAATTTAATTGTGTAAAGTGAACGTTCTCCTTACTGACCACCACCACCAGAGGGCTGGAAATGCACATGCTGGAAGAGGCAATTCTTTGTATTTCATGTTTTTTGTGATTAACATCTTTGTAACAATATTGCAGCATGTAAGAGTAAGATATTTAAAGCAGTCTGAAAATAAAGAAAGTTCTGTATTGGTTCAAGCAACCTTTGAAATCACACCATAGAATTCCTTTCCAATCTCTAGAGGGGAAGTAGCAGATTCACTGCAGTTTATAAGACAAAAAGTAAACCCTACTAAGCTAGTTGTAGTTACAAATTAAGCTCATAAGTCAAGAATCACCCCTAAAATAAGCCAAGGGAGGAAATGAGAGTCCTATTAATGAGAATCCAGGAGATAAAGGTTCTTGAACAAATCGTATGCAAGTGTTAAGGTTGTGATATTGGTCACTAAAGTGTTGGAATACAAACTGGTAAAGCAAAAACTTAAATATTTAAGTGGCAAATATAGCAACTGAGCTGCAGGTGCCATCAGCCTGCTGGCTTACGTATAGTTTGTGGGTCGTGGAGCTGTCTCCTGCCTACTCTCCGTAGAATCCCTGATCCGTAACTCCAGCTTCACTCTAGTGACTTTGCCAGTAACTTCTGTAGGATATTTGCATTTAAATGCTTGTGGTGAAGGTTGGAAGATCTGTGGTGGGGAGGCAGGTAGGGACTGCCTCCTGTTTATTTGATACCTGCCAAGAATATGGTGATAATGCTGGAAGCAAGTAGAAATTCACTCTCCCCAACAACAGTTCTCCATGCATAAATAATGAAGCATATGTGCCTGTGCCTAAAAGGAGCCAGGAAACGCTGGTCTGCCTCCAGGGTCTGGCTGGGTGTTAGGAAAATAGCTTGGTTCCCAGACTGTTTTCTCCTTCTCTGCTGTCAAATCAGAATCACAAGTGTCTTGGCTCTCAGGTGCACTTGGTGTATGTACTCCGTTGTGAATGATGGATCTCCTGTTCCGGCCAGGGGAGGTGGGATTTTTAGTGAGAATTTGGTTATGGGAAGCCCAGAGCATTTAATGGATACCTTGCAAGACATACGTGTTCAGCATATTTGCAAAAAACTCGACTTTTATCCTTTTTGGTGGTTCTCTCTAAACAGAAAATCCCTTTTTCTTTGTGACAGAACAAATTCAAACGTGTAACACAAGTTTGTTGTTTCATTTAGACTTACAGTCAGCTTGCTCATCCGATCCAGCAAGCCAAAGCCATGGGTCTCCAGTTCCACTCCAGGATTCTTGACATCGACAACATCGATGTGAGTGTCCTTTTCTATATTTCACCTTGGGGGATGACTTAGAAACTCATGACCTGATGAGGGCTTTTCTTTTTTTGCTGTGACTGCTAGTTTTTTTTTCCTCATGCTACTCTGGTATTTGCCATTTCTGCTAACGGAGGAACAAATCACCGCTGCAGGAAGGGAGAGCTCGTGGGACAGATTCTCTACTGTGTGATCAAGCCTAAGTTACAGCGTTGTGGTTTGTCTCCTCTCTGCCAGGGCACCTTGGTCTTAATTGCCAGCATATACATTGAGAAAGACTGATAATAAAGGCAAATAATACTGACCCGGTGCTTTCGTGAAGGGCTTCGTTGGTGCTTAGTCTGGATGATAACGCGCAATACTTCTGTGCCTCACGGTTGTGCGGGGATGGCTGTTAGACTTAACCGCTGTCTGGATGGCTCTGGATGAGCGGGGAGGTAACGGCTGTGAGCGGAGCAGTGCTGGTAGTTGGGGACTCTGGCCAAACGTCTGCACGGTCGTAATGGTCTCTGCCTTCCCCTTTAGTGAGCAGCCAGAGGTGTTATTGTTGCACTTGGCAGGAAGTCTACAGTAGTATTTTCATTTAATTAAGCCTTTAGTGTCATCTGTCACTGGCGTCCCAGTTTTCTTTCTGATCTTCCTTTCCTTCAATGGCAAAGGTATCTCAGAGAAATTGCCGCTTTTACTCAGACTTTTCATGTCCCATAACCGGCTCTGCCTCGAAGGAAATGTGCAAGGGGAGGAGAGGAACAAGGCAGCTCTACAGGAGCGCTTTAAAACACGTGTGGAAGTAGTGTGCAGTCAGATCAGCTGTTTGCCTTTTTCATCAAAGGTGCTAACTCAAAGGAAGCAATATTCAGGACATGTTTCTGTTGGAACCAGGTATTATGGTATGCTTGTCTGATATACTGCAGCTGAGCAGTATTATCCTCAATAAAATTCTAAGCTGGATCCATTCAGACAATTATCATAAAGCCAACTGCAGGGTCATTCCTGTAGGAACAGAGAATGCAGAGTTACTTAATAGGGGTCTAAACCCAGAGGCAAGGAAGTGGAGGATTGGAAACTTTCAGGTAGATGGAAATGGAACATGGTGATAAAAGGATGCTGTTCAGAAAGTGGGATCTTCCAGATGTTGTCAGGTGTGTTGGCTGGCCAGATGTTGCTTGTTTGCCATCACACCCCTGCAAGACCAGAAGTCAGGAAGAATTCAGGAACCATTGGGAAAACCGAGACAAAATCTGATGCTGGTTTGCTGAAAGGAGGACTGCCAATGGTGATTTTTCTCTATCTGCAGTCCTGCGCAGGAGTCTCTCTTTTTGTACCCACATCATTAAAACCCTGGAGTGAGTACAGGAGAGCGCCAGAAACATCTGAGCAAACGCCTTACGGCAGGAGACTTAGTTTGACCTGTGTAGGCCAACAAAAGAACAGTGGGAACTGACTTGATTAATGACCACGCATCTTCACAGGGAGCAAGAAGATCATCTACAGGGCATCTCCTAACACAAAAGGCTAATGTCTGGTCCTCTTCCTAGGAGCGTTTCGCCTCTGTGTCTGAGAGGTTTCTCATTTTCTCTCATCTGTCTGGTTTCAGAAGAAGCTATTCCTACCTCTTTGGTAACTTTGGATATTAACTGCAAGCATGTGCCAAATGAGGAGGAAAATTTCTGTGGCATCTGCAATTCTCTTGATTATCTTCAGCAATAAATAATGTGGTCTAACAAAATTAAAGCTATGGAAGTAATAAACATGATTGCTTTTTTCTGAGCGTCCTATTTAAGAGGTTTTCCTGTATTGTTAGTATCTAGGAGACTTTATTGTATGCTAAATAACTTTTTTCCTCTGTCGGTGCTAATTGCTATAGAGCTGGGCACAGATTCTGAGTGGTGGCTGGAAAGACATTTAATTATGAACTCATTTTAGATACCTGTATTTTCACGTGAAATTTCTCAAGGAAATTACATCCTAGCCGGAAAATGATTGATACGGAACATAAATGAGTGCAGTTCTTGTTATGCTGTCTGTATTGCGAGAAAGGGGGATGTAGGGTGTTGTGTGTTTAAATTTTTAAATGCGTTTCCCTAGAGGAGATTTATGGGAGTATGTTAAATGATCTCATCCAGAAAAACAGCTTAGTGAGTTTGGGGAAAAAAAAAGCAACCAAAAAAAAAAATTTAGAAGATTTAAAGGAATTCACGTGCTGCGAAGTTGGCAGCATTAAAATTAAAATCAAGTCTTTCAAACATAAGCATCTGAATGCGTGTTCCAGGTACTTGGTTAAGCCCTCTGTTCTTCACTGGACATCTACTGCCATTAAATTTAATGGAATTTTGGATCCTTGATATTTCTTAGGACTATTTATGTGGCTGCCTACATGTAGTTTTAAGTATGTGACTTGTGGAACGGGGTTTCTGAACTTAGTGTGGGAGGAGTGATATAAATACTGTCTTGATTACAGAAGTTTTTTGGGCTCATAGTACTAAAAAATAAAGCAATACCAGTATGGAAATCTTGGTGCCTATAAGGGATACAGCCTAGTCGGTGATACGGTCCCCCTCCTCCTCCTTGAAATCCACGTGCAAATTTATGTTGTCAGATTACCAGTGCCGAGTGGTGTCACATAAAATGTCTGTCATGGAAATTGGTCTGACAAAGAGCTGTGAGATCTGGGTTTTGATACTTGGGTGGAAGGCGTTGTGCATTGCCGAATGAGTCAGGCCAGTTCCAGAAACGCAGTGTGCACTGGGTCGGCGTGAGTTGCTGCAGAGCTGGGGAACCAATTCCCTCAGGTTGAGCAAAGGAGCGTTGCAGTAGTGCCGAGTTTTCCACAGGAAAGAGTAAAAAAAAGAATAATAAAAAATATATATATATATATGCACCTTTGTGAATTATGGCATGGTCTTGTAACTATCTCTTGTGATGCATTCTTTGTTCCGTGATAAAATGCAATGTTTTTGCAACAGTATCTCTTACATACAAAAGAGTATAATCACGCTACCTTAAGTTTGAGGTAGTATGATTGCCTTTTTGGGTAACATAGCCAGTCGAGTTACTCAAGAGCAAGATATTATTCTGTAGCATACTGCATTCCCACAATAGAGGCAGGAGGAGGATTGTGTTTTTTAAGAGCACAGCTTTGGGAAACAAACCTCAATTTTTCATTCCTCTTTGCATTTCAGTTAATGAGTTTTTCAAATATTTAATAGAGTGATCTTAGAACAGAGGAAAAAAATCCTGTCAAACAAAAGGTTCTCACCTTGAAGTCTTTCTGCTACTTGGTTCTTTTTATCTAGTTCAGTACAACTTCATGTCAAGGATTCGTTTAAAAGCAAGAGGAGAAAAAAACTTTGTCTGTTTTCTAATGGAATTTTCTTTCATTGCAGCTGGCTATGGGGAAGATGATGGAACAGGGACCAGTATTAATCATCACTTTCCAGGCTCAGGTCGTGATGGTAATTAAGAACCAGAGAGGGGAAGTGGTGGAAGGTGATCCGGTAAGTGATGCTCATCGGCTGTGCACGCTTTCCCTGCGTGCCCTGCAGCCATCTCAGTTCTTGGGGATTCATCTAGGTGCGTCGAGAGCAGTGGGTGCCCACACGTACTGCGTTCACCAGCGTGCACAGTATTGCACCTATTGAAGGTCTCCGTTCAGCTCAGTGTGGGCTTTTTATTCCTGTCAGACTCCCAAGTGTTGCGACCCATTAATTGAGAATTATCGTATATGAGGAGAGTGCAAACATCTAGAATGGACAGAGAAGGGGATATTTTAAATTCACAGTGAGGAGAGGAGCTGGAGCTATGACCACCGGCAGCGCTTTCTCTTCCACTGGCTCCCGTGCCTGGCCTGCACGCTCCCTGCCTGGGGTTATCACCTATGAGTTCCGCTCCTTTGGCACCCTCTGGGACAGAACTGAACTGTCAATTAGAGCTCCATCGCACAGCTTCTGCCTGATCCTGTTCTTTTTTTTCTCCCTTTTCCTTTCATAAGTAAAAACAGAGTGCAAAGATGTTTGGTAAGCAGGGTGGGAGCTGGAGTTAAGTCGTTTGCAGGAGATGGGGCAAATCAACAACTGGAAGTAGAAGTTCATGTTTTTGGCTGCTGCCTCCTTACTAAATATCTTAAAGTGCTGCAAGCCTTTACTTACCGAAACCCTCCCGTATCCAGTTGTGTTAAATGCCGTATGTGGTACAGGCTTCTAACAGGAACTCTGACACAGGGTGATTTATGCAGCAAATCTCTGGCATCTCTATGGATTGTACTTCACTGTGGTTTAGCTTTTAACACCGCGAGTCCAGCCTGCGCGTTCTTTTGTGGGTGATGCTAGACTGAGCCTGTCAGGCATAACCACAGAATACGCTTGTTACCGGAGTTAATGACACAGCAGGCTCGAGGAGCCCGTGCGTTTTCTGGAATACCTTTGTTCTCAAGTGGCTCGCTATCCAGACAGCTCAGTCTGTGCAATGTTTAAGTAGCTTAATGATATATAACGGGGGGGCCGTTGTGAGATGTCTGGAGCTGGCAGGTTCTAGCAGACTTCCATTAAAATTAATACATGCATTTAATAAATATTGGCTTTTTGCAACCATTGTCTTTAGTCCAGGCTGTAAGTTTACAAAAAAAAAAAAAAAGGGACTAATTTTAATGATGGGGCCCATCTGGACTGATTTATAACCTGTCACATCAACTGCAGGGGTGGAACAGCTGATATAGTGATTTCTTGCATTAAATTACTGCATTCCTAGAAGATTGATATTGATGTGATAATTATCGAACAGGATATCAAAGTCTGTTCGCTGTCTGATTTCTCTGGAGCAGCAATAAATCAAGGAGATGCATTAAAATTCTCCATTGAAAACAAAACTTCAGCTTTAATCAAATGTCAGATGCAGGCTGGCTGGTAACTATGATTTGGTGTTAACTGCTGAGCCGCTCCTGCAGAGTATTGAACAAATGACCTTCTGGGGAAAAGGAGCCTCAAACTGCAAACTCTCTCAACAGAAATCATATGCTTGTAATTGCTGCGGTGTTTTACCTAGTTGCAATTGTTCAGGTTCCCCCAGGTGTGCTGCAGACTCACCCCCAGTGAGATGTGGGGAGACCAGGCAGCCTGTGAGGGGGTTGGACCAGGTATTGTGGTGGTTAACGTAGGAGACCCCCACGGAGCACCACAAACTCCATCTGGGAAAAAGAAGCCTTGAGCAACCCTTGAGCAATGCTGTGAAGTCAAGGGAATCTTTTTTTAAAATTAGGTCCTGAAGGACTGTGAGACAGGATGCTGTTTGTCATAGACTGTGGGATTAAAGGACAAATTTTCACCTTGCATGCATGGCCACGATAGAAATCTGCCTTTGGGAGTTCACACGTTTGCTGTCCCACTTTCTGTGAATATATGCAGCCGCAAGCACTGTACATTGAGGATTAAGATGTACCCTATTAATAAAAGCACCAGATCAGAAAACCAGAAATCTCTCTGCTTTGGAAACACATAGGTTTTGTGTTTCTTCACATCTTATTTCCAGGAAGAAAGTTGTGCTGCTTGTTTAGTACTGCGTGCTGCGAGATCACCAGCAACTCTAAGCTTAGCTGCTAGTCATCCCTTCAGAAATCCTATGTTCAAGAACATAAACTTTTCCAGATGTAGCAGAGCTTTGATCCTGAAGTGTGTGATTAAATTGCCTTTCCTACGCAAATGGACTTTGAAAATCACGAATCACAAAAATCACGCAAATTAAGGTTCCACTGACAATGTTAAATCAATTCTGTTACTTCATCTTGAGCTTACACTTAGTGTTTTATAGCAGGCAAAAGTTTTGTTGTTTTTCCTCTCTTGTCCCTTCTGCTCTTCCTTCTGACATATCCTCCCAAACATCTGTACGACTCAAATTTTCAATCACTTTTAACGCTTCTGAGCAGAGCTGAAGCAAGTTAATTTTCTGAAACACTGAGCAAGAAAAAAATTACTTTATGATATGTGCTATTTCTAAAACATTAGTTTTCTAATGACTGGTCTGATACAGAAAGTCTCCCCCCTCACATTTGTGTACCTAAATTATAACCTATAAAGATTCACACATTCGATCAGAAATGTAGTAGTTAAGTACACATCTGGGAGCTGAGCCACTGCACGCTCTGATCCCTCAGTGATACTTCCTTATCTGGGGGAAATACTCTCCGTGGTTAATGGTTAAATGATAAAAATCAAAAGAACCTTTGATTTCCAGAATGGATCCGTGACACCAGGCTGGATTTGGGCTCTGATGGGCAGTGTCACCTCTCTCCTGGGAGAGGCAGACACTTCGTCACAGGTGGCTGCAGTGACTCTTCAGGGAGTTGTTTTCATAAGACTGACCCAGTATGGTGAAAGCACTATTTGCACTGCAAAAAATCTGCAGAATTAGTGTATGTCTGTGGCTAACGCTGTGGTTGGACTTGTTACGGTCTGATTTTCGTTGATAAATGTTGATTTTTTTTTTTCTTTTTTTTCCTCTACTCTCTGTCTCTCATCAGACCTGGCGATGATAATTTCTGGTTAATTTGAGCTGCTCAAATGGAAGTGTGAGCACCAGCGATGTAGCTGTGGGGAGGGGAGGCAGCTCACAGGCTGATGTGGGAGAGGCAGAGTTAGAGCCACAGGAAAGAGCCTGAACTCAAGTGATGTTACAGAGAACAGTACAACCTGGTGGCAGGACCGATTGGAAACCAGAAATTTACAGAGTCATAGAATCACAGAATGGTTTGGGTTGGAAGGGACCTTAAAGATTATCCAGTTCCAACCCCACTTCTTTAAAAAGAAGGTCAAATATTATCAAACTTGGCAGCGGTGCCAGTCGATGTATATCAGCCAGAGATATTTAGAAACCCTGATTCTGTTTTTGGAAATCAAAAGTTGATCCGTTCCTGACTGTGATGAATTTCTGACCGCAGTCTAGTAGATGTTACTGGGGCTGTCCTTATTTGGGACCTTCGGGCTTAGAAACAGAGAGCAAAATCACAAGCGAGTCTCTGGAGGAAGTGTGGAGCATGTCCCTGCCACCTCTGAGCCAGGAGGTCTGTGACCCTCACGCATGCTCTAACGACAGGATTTTCCTTCCAGGACAAGGTTCTGCGGATGCTGTACGTGTGGGCGCTCTGCAGAGACCAGGATGAGCTCAACCCATACGCCGCATGGAGGTTATTGGACATTTCCTCGTCGAGCACTGAGCAGGTTCTCTGAGAAGAATCACATCCAAGGGCTTCCATACCTCTCTTGAAGCAACACCGTCTCTGAACTCACACCAATCTGCCGTAGGATGGACCGTGGAGAGGAGAGGCTGGACCGGTTCCCTGTCAGAAGAACAGGCTATTCCGTGTACCCTCATTATACCAACCCCTGTAACGAACTGGACGATTCTGACATATCTGCCTTACGCTTTGCTGTGTAGTATCGCACTGTAAGGATGTACGGTAGATTTGAACGTGAATGCTCTAAGACTCTAGCAGCTGCTGTTGGCTCCTTTTTTAATTGTGGCCGAAGGAGGCTGGTTTGGGTCCTGTGTGTTTCCCAGGGATGGGCAGAGGTGCGTATCGGAGAGTGAGATGCGGCAGGTCTAATTCCCATGTGCTGTCGTCCTCTGGTGGCCTCAAAGCATCCCTGAAAAGATCTTAGAGGTGCTTTTGAGGCACGTTGGTCTTAGCTAACCTACATCTCTTGTACAAAGTCGCACCAATAAGCCTTCTGTTGCTGCAGTGTCTTGCACTTTACCAAACCAAATACAATCGGGACTTTGCACATGACTCTGTGTTGATGTGGAGCAGAGTTGGGATGCAGATGTTGGCATCATCAGGCAGGTTCACGAGGCTGGTTGCAGGGGTGGACTTTGCCTCTAGTGATAATGTTTATATATCCACAGCTTTTGCAGGGGGAAGGTTCTTGTTTCTGGTGTTCTGTTCACGGTACCGCTAAAGAGCACACAACAGCGTTTCTCCGTCGGGTTAATATGATGGTGCGGAGGAGACAGGCTGCAACGGGCTACGAGGAAGCAGGCAGAGTGCTGCAGTGGTCAGGAGTAGGTGCGAACAGATTAGCAACAAATGAGTAAATAAAATGCAATAACAGATAGAACATCGCGTCTTGTAGCTCAGGCATTTATTATGTGAGATAAGAAAAGGGTGCAGTTCACACGCGTACTGCGTGAAGCGCGTTACGAGCGTGGCTCTCTTCACCAGGACTCGTGCTTCCCCGGGGGGGGTGGCACGCCTGGCCTGGGGGTCCCAGGTGCAGTTGGAAGATGTCAGAGGGTGAGCTGCTGGCACGCTTACGTGGACTCTTGGTTCTGGGCTTCTGCTGGAGGCTCAGTTTGGGAGCTGTGGTGTGGGTCGATTTGTCAGCTGCCTCCTCTTAATGGAAAGTGAGGTTGGGGGAAAAAAATATTGATTGTGGAATAGGAAATCAAAGGACCGATCTGCCGCTGTGTTCTGCCTGTGCACAAAACAGGGTGATGCAGGACAGCACTTCCTTGACATTATGATTAAAGAGAATAATTGCCAGTTCTTCCTTCTCTTCTGACTGTCTGGATCAGTTCCTTTGAATGTAAATGGGATTATCTCACAGCCCTTGGGTGAGACATTTACCTCTAGCAGCTTTCTTAGAGTGAGAGGCGATGACTGCGGCCAATTCAATAGCAGAGCCTGTCCTGTCCCCTTAAAAGGTGCCGAGAGCTGCTGTCTGGCTGCCACGCGCGGTATTTCTGCTGCTCTCAGGGTGGGACACGGTCCCTGCTGCCTCCCTCATCGCTGAGTTTTCTCGCTGGTGCTTTTGCCAGTGAAATAATTTCAAATTTTTACTCAAATTATCTTAAGCACTAGTACACAGACTAAAGATCTGAACAGAATAAATTCCTCCATGCAGAAATTGGCTATGAAATAAGGAATCCCTGTATCTGACTGCCTTCAGAAATGGTGGATGGATGACGTGGGCCTCATTCAGCGAGGCTTTTTCCGGGACAGATCCCATCTGGGGCTGTATCGTGCGTGCAGACTTATCCTTTATTTGAACATCTGGGCCGCTGAATGCAAATGCGGTGTTGACAATGAATGTCTTTGAGACGCTTCTCGAACCTCATCGGGGATGGGGAAACTCTCGTTGCCAAGACCGTGCAGAAACTGAGTCATCTCCTGCTCTGCTTCCTCGGTCGCTGGCTGCAGGCGGTCACTGATCAGCCAGGAGTCTCCAGCAGCCTGGGTACGTACGTGCAGACGTACATACTGTTGGCCAAGTCTTTTGGGACGCCTCTATCAAGCGTGTGCTTTTTACTCGGTGTGCTTTTCACATTTTTTAACTGGGGGGTGTGTGTGTATGTGTGAAATAAAATTCAAAATTAAGAGTATAAAAGTAGTTGGGCTGCCCAGGACAGCTGCAGTAACCCAGCCGTGGTGGGTTAGCGGTGTCTCGTGTCGGCTGGTTGAACCTGTGAACGCAGGGTCCCGGCTTGCACCCGCAGTCAGCCCTGAGGTTTCAGCCACGGAGGAGGAGCGAGGGTTAATGGCCGTAAGTTCTGTACCAGTGGCCGTGTTCTCCACAGCCTGGGCTGCAGCGTGGGTTTGTTGGTCGCCTCGGGATTCAAGGTGAGACTGCGTTAAATCCACCTCTTGGTTTTTCAGCGAAATTGGTGCATGATCGGGGGCCTGGGAAGCTGGGGGTTGTTCCTGCCCATGAGCAAGTGGTGAGCTGCTCTCCTGGGTGGGTCAGAGAGCCCCAGGACCCAAGAGGGAGCTTCAAGAAGCAGCAGAAATCACAACTGCTGAAACGACCCATCTCTAAACTCTGCTCAGCTCCGAGAGGTTCGCAGTGGTGGCGGGAGAGGTGGCGACTGGCTCTGCCTGCCTCTTCCTCTCCGGGGTTGTTCCTGCCCATGAGCAAGTGGTGAGCTGCTCTCCTGGGTGGGTCAGAGAGCCCCAGGACCCAAGAGGGAGCTTCAAGAAGCAGCAGAAATCACAACTGCTGAAACGACCCATCTCTAAACTCTGCTCAGCTCCGAGAGGTTCGCAGTGGTGGCGGGAGAGGTGGCGACTGGCTCTGCCTGCCTCTTCCTCTCCCAAAGCTTTGCCCAAGCTCAGACTGGGACGCGGCCTG